TGGGGAAGAAGCGCGGCCCGGTCCTGACCTACGCCGTGTGGAGGGGCGGGAAGGCCGCGGGGTCTGTCCCGGGGTTTGCCCCGGGGTCTGTGCCGGGGTCCCGCCGCCAACAGAGCGCTGGGGAGCTCAGGGGGTGCCCGGCGAGGCGGAGCGGTAGCCGGATCTAGAGCCTCCGCCGTAGAGGCAGCAAAGATGGTTTCTCTCCCAACCCGATACCTAGTGTTCTTTCAGTACTTTGGCACTAGATATAGGTAGGTGCCTCCGCTGCCTCGTCAGCCCCGTGCGGTGGAAATAAACCAGCGCCTGTGGCGGGCCTGGTGGGGGGGTGTTTAGCGACGGGCGGTGAGGGAAGAGCTCCAGGGAGATGGCTGGGGAAAGGACGGGCGAGTGCAGTGGGTTCGCTGAGGGATAAACCCCTCGCTGAGTAGGTGAGAGCGGACAGGGAGCTGGATTCTGCTGCCTGCTGTTGGTGTGGCAGTGTTAGGAAGGGGATGGTTTTGGGCAGGAAATGCATAAAATAGGCAAAGAGAAAACTATCAAAGGACAGAGAAGGCGGCAAAGTTGTGATCTCAGGCTGGGGAGGGGGGAAAGCTGCTGTATTTCCTGCAGTGGTGGTTTGTTGGGTGCCCGGTGGTGTGGCCGGTTCTCCGTGGTTCAGATACCTGCGCTGCAGGTGAAGTGGGCTGTGGGCTGTGAGTCCTGCGGGAGGACAGCTGAGGTTGGGTTTCCCTAGGCCTTAAACATCCCACCTGTGTAGCTGTGCTTGTTTACATTAAAAAAAAAAAAAGCGCGTGGGAGAACTTGTGCAGCTCCAACTCATGGAATTGTGCCTATCTTCATGAGGATTTTACAGAATAATACCATCATGTGCCAAAACCCACAGTTCTTTTGCAGTGCATGGTCTGTGTCACTGTGGGTACTGACCTAAATTACTTGGAGTAGTTACAGGCAGGTTGGGTTTAGCCTCGGGCCATATCTCTCTGCACTTCAGCAGCTTTTGTGAATGGCTGTGACTTCTGTAGTAGAGAAGGAAGCTCATGACAAACCATCTTCATGGTCTTTTAGTCCCTTTATGAGATCCACAGGGCCTGCAAGAAAGGGACCTGCAACTGGCAACCAACTCCTGGCCCTGAAATAGTTTTATATGCAAACTCTTTTCTAGTGTAATTTGTCTGCCTTCCTGTCAGCCTCCATCTGAAGGGCTAGTCCAGAGAGCAGTGTTTGAAGGATGATTTTGAGACAAGGGGAGGTCAATTTTTATGTCCAGCCTCCTTTCTTGCAAATAACCGCTGCATCTGTTTTCCTGTCCGTTCATCAAAGTGTTTGGTCCCTGCAAGTTCTGTAAAAAGATCCAGGTTCCTCAATAGCAAACAGTTTGATGACTGTCCCCCATTAACTTCTGGATGTGTTGGTGGACTCTGTATCAAGTTTCTGGGTCTTTATACATATCAATAACTATTGTATTTGTTTTGCTCTGCAGTGGGGTTATGGAGACTTCAAATGATCAGTCAGTGCTTGGAGTCCAGAATTATTTGGAGGTAGGTCCTTGCTAATCATATTGTCATTAAAATGAAACTTCTGGAGTCACGTTGTTGAGCTACAGGTATTCTCAAGGATAAATATTCTTTTTAGATTGACGCTCAATTGAAGATGCTTGCATAGTGTTAAACACTATAATATTCAAAACAATCAAAGTGCTTTAGAAATGACATCATTATACAGGCAGGAGAAATAGGTCAGGGTGAAGTCAGAGACATAAGATCCTGAAAAAGATGTGAACCCTTCAAATTGAGGCATCCAAGTCCAAAACTATGATTCTGAGAGCCTCTGCTCAGGTGCTGGCCCACCTGAAGGTACTTAAGCAGCATGTGAGCCTCATTAGCACTTGTGGCTCTGCCTCTACTTATTCTTTGAACTGCTGCAGTTCTGAGCAAGCTTAACTGTGCTGCTTCTAGTTCATGTCTAAGGCCTTTATAGATTTAGAAACTAAATGCTGCATACTTCTGAGAGAGGATGTCTCTGATAGACTTGTTCAGAACAAAGCCCAGCAGGATAACCGTTGTTCCAAAGAAAAAATGCTTCGTTTCCATTCTTCTGGAGTTCTTTTAGTATTCTGGGGAAAAAAGGTACGATCCTGTCATCGCTGTTGTTCCTGCGCTGCTCCCAGGGACTTTCCAGAATGTAAGAATGGCTTTGGGGACCCAAGGGTGGTTTGGGCTTGGAGTGAGTGTGCAAAAGACTCGCTGTTACACCAGTGAGTAGAAGGTGGGTCACTTGCATAGGGTAAATGCTCAGCACGCCTGGATGTTTGTGTAACCCAACTGCAATTTAACTACAAGCTGCTGTTGAGCTGCATTTATTTGAGCAGTGCTGGTGAATCCCATGTTCCTGTGCAGGGCAGGAATCAAAAGGAA